TGACCCGCAGTGTGACTGCAGTCTGACCCCCCAGTGTGACCCACCGGTGTGACCCCCAGTGTGACCCACCGGTGTGACCCCCAGTGTGACCGCCAGTGTGACCCGCAGTGTGACCCCCAGTGTGACCCGCAGGGTGTTGTGATGGGTTTGATCCGAGTACAAGTGAAATACCTCCCCTCACCCAAGTGAGTATGAGCCTCGCGTTCAGACAGGTGTGAGGCCGGTTCCCAGCTGGCGAGGTGTTCTTTTGAATAAGAATGCGGGTCACATGAGTCTCCCCATCCAACCCCCCTCTCACTGTCCTCACTTACTTGCCCTAGAGCAGTTTTATTGGTGCTTTTTCCTTAGGAGAGAGAACTCCCTACCAAACCCCTCAGAGGCCACTGCGGCTAGTGAGTGGGGGTGTGGCCCCCCGCAGTTTCCTTCCTGCCACCCGCTCTGGACCATTCCCCTCGCCTCTGCCTCTCGCCCGGGGAGGGACAGAGCCTGAGGGAGGAAGTGGGCGGAGGCCCCCAGTCACTGCGGGGAGGTCTGAGTCCTGTCCCCCAGTGCTCTCTCGTCTCCTCACCCCTGTGGGTCCCTCCAACCAACGTCCAAACCTTTCCGTCCCACAGCCACTTCCTAAGGGCAGAGGCTTCCTCTCTAAGGTCAAGGCCATCGCACGGAACTGACTTCCTGCCTCTACGCGCTTCTCTGAACTTGCACTCGCCTGTCTCCTCTGTGGCACAGACAGAGCATCCTTCCTGCCCTCGCGGCCCCGCCCCTGGCTCCCGACCACCTTCCGCAGGGACCCTCCCGGGCGGTGAGTCAGCCTGGAGGTGACAGGGCTCAGCCTGCACACTCAGGGCACAGGCTGTGCCGACATGTGGCCACAGGAGGGGCGCGCTGTCCCCAGTTGCACCACTGGCCCTGCTTCCTGAGCTGACGGGTGACCGCCTTCCTGTGCCCACGGCAGAGAAGTGGGAAGTTCTATCTGCCCGGCTCCAGCCTCCTGCTCTCACGGGGCATCTCCTCCTGGTAAAGCGAAGGCCCGGGCCCGCCCGGCCCCTCCTCGCCACCACTTTCTCCGGGGCACACAGACCAGCGCTGTTTACTTCCGGAGAAGCCAGGGCGCTGAGCGTGGCCAGGGGGACCCGGCCCTCCCGCAGCTCATCGGGGCCTCTGATCCTCACACAGGAAAGTGAATGCTTTACCTGAAGAGCAACAACTGCCCAGGTCAGCCGGTTGTAGCCCTGGAAAAACCCGTTCTGTGACACCAGCTCCCCGTCGTACACGTACACGCCCATCAAGCCAAACACGCTCCCGAAGAAGCCTGCAAGGCGGAGTGTACGTCAGCGCAACTGTCGGATGCTGGCCATTGCACATAACTTCATACTTTTCTTTTAAATTGTTTACTTGGACACTTATGTAAACTTGACAGAAATGCACTTAGTGCTATGAATATAAGAGGAAGACATGGAAACAGAAAAAGAGCAGTGGCGACGGATCTAAATCTCAGAGCATTAACACAAGATAATGCAGAAATCACGTAACTCCACGGCTCCCCTCCGAAGAGTTGGAAAATGCTCGCTTTGGGTACACGTCAGTGCATCTGTGCCTCCCGCGGCCACACACAGACTTCCATGTATTCACACGCACCTGCAGGCACAC